TATGTCAGACACTGTGCTCAAAGTTAGGAGTACCATAACTAAAAAGAGTCTTTTCCCTAAATTCTTCAAAAATTTTCTGTATAACAGCTGCCAAAAATAAACAAAAAAATCTCAGCTGTCATAAATAAATAAATAGAAAGATTACCATACGTATTGATAGGTTAAAGAAGCGGGTAAACATTCAGTTTGATGAAATTTCCCTCTCTACTGGCTTGGTAATTATGTGCTTTATTTCCGTTGTTAATCTACATAAATTAATCATTATTTTATGCAGTCAGTGTTTAAGTATGACTATATGTTTGCCATAAAGTTCCTTCTTACATTGAAGGGCTTTATAGTGTAGTGATTAAGAGAATGAACTCTGAATTCAGAGTACCTAGATTCGAAATCAGAACTTAGGCTCTCGGTGACCAAAATAGAAATATAAAATAGAGACGTTTTCTTCAAAGAACATCTTTTAAATTCCTTTAATAAGGGTCTGCTGGTGGTAGTAAACTCTGTTCTTGTATGGAATTGTCTTTTATTTCACTCTGGTTCTTGAAAGATGATTTTTCTGAGCATTTATTCTTGATTAACACTTATTTTATCTTGCCTCTTTGAAGGAGTTATTACTGTCTTTTGGCTTCCATTCTTGCAACTGAGAAGTCAGGGTCAGTCTAATTGTCTTTCTCCTTTGTGTGTAGTCTGTCATTTTTTTGTCTGAATGATCTCTCTGTTTTTAATAGAAGTAAAACTTACCTAGAGTGTAATGCACAGATATTAAGTGTGCAGTTCAATGACTTTTGATAAGTATACCCTAGTGTAACTACCACCACTATCAAGATATAAGAGCATTTTCATCAACATAGAACGTTATAGCCCTTTCCAAGCATTCCCTACCCCACCCCACAACAGGCAGCTGCTAATCTGATTCTATCACCATAGATTAGTTTTGTCTGTTCTTGAGACGTCACATAAATGGAATCATGCAAAATGGATTCTTTTTCATGGCTTCTTTGTTTCACTAAACATAATGTATGAAATTCATCTGTGCTGTTGTGTTTACAAGTAGTTAGTACTTATTTATTGCTGACTACTATTCTGTTGTATGAATATGCCATGGATAGACATTTGGGTTATTTGAGGCTATGATGAATAAAACTTCTATAAATATTCATATGTAGATCTTTTTGTGGGCACATGTTTACATTTCTTTTTTGCAGATTTTAGGAGTAGAATTACTAGAATAGGGTAGGTTTATGTTTAACATCTCATTTTACATTCTCATCAGCGATGTATGAAAGTCTCAGTTGTTCCACATCATCACTATTTGATGGTGTCAGTCTTTGTAACTTTAACCATGGTCTTATGTGTATGTAATGATATCTTCTTGTGGTTTTAATTTGCATTTCTCTAATGACTAATGATGTTGATCACCTTTTCATGTGCTAATTGGCTGTTTATGTATCTTCTATTGTGAGAAGATATCTGTTCAATTTTTAACCATTTTTAAAAATTGGGTTATTTTATTATTGACTTGAAGGAATTATTTGTATATTTTAGATACAAGTCTTTTGTTGGATATGTGTCTTACAAATGTTTTCTTTCAGTATGGCTTGCTTATTTATTTTCATAGCAGTGTCTTTTTTTAACCATTTTTAAAAATTGGGTTATTTTATTATTGACTTGAAGGAATTATTTGTATATTTAAGATACAAGTCTTTTGTTGGATATGTGTCTTACAAATGTTTTCTTTCAGTATGGCTTGCTTATTTATTTTCATAGCAGTGTCTTTTGTTGAGCAGAAGTTTTTAATTTTGATGAAATCTAATATATCAATTTTTTTCCTTTACACTTTGTTTCACCTTTTGTGTCCTCTCTGAGAAATCTTTGCTTTTCCTAAGGTTGCAAAGATACTCTTCTATGTTTTCTTCTAGAAATTTTATCATTTTGCATTTATGTTTGTATATTTGTGTATGCATGTGTGTGCATGTGAGCGTATGACTATATGGAATTTATGTGTGTGATGTGGTGTCAGGATCAAAGTTCATTTTATTTTCTAGACACTTGTCCAGTTGTTCTAGGACCACTTGTTGAAAAGACTTCTTTCTCCATTGAATTGCCTCATTCTGTTCTTTTCCATTGTTCTGTTTGCTTTTTGTCTGGAAAAAGAAATTCTTTTTGTGTTTGGTGTGCTGCTTTTACACTGGTTACCTGTATTTTCTTTCCCTTATCCTGCTTGGGATTTATTGGGATACCTAAATCTGAGGCTTTTGATGTCTTTAACTAGTTTGGGAAAATTCTTTTATCTTTGGTAATATTATCTCTCTCTTATTTTCTCTTCCTTCATTTGGAACTTAGGTTCTATGGATGTAGACCTTTTTATTAATAACTATCTTATGCAGCTACTAACTGCTCATATTTTCCAACTCTGAATTTAGATGATTTCTTCAGCTCTGATTTTCTGGTTCACGGATGCTTTATCTGTGTCCTATTTTCTGTTTAACTTACCTGCTGATTTTTAATTTTAATTATACTTTTTATTTCTACATATTCTGTTTGACTCTTTTAAAAAATCAGTTTAATTATTAGTCATGTGCTGATACTCTCACTTCTTTAAAAATATGTGGAATGTTTTATATTTTTTATTATTGCTTGTAGTATCTGCAGTCTGTGTAGGTATGATTCAGTTTCTGCTTCCTCTGGTGGCTCATTTCCTTTTTTTTCTTTAATCAGTTTTTGATTGTGAACTCAGTAGAACTTTATCTGTGTGAATTATTTCTGATCTAGGCTTAGGGTGTGTTCCTCCAGAGAGAATTTCCATTTGCTTCTCCCAGGAACCCAGGGGCACTATCTGCCTAGGACCACTTTACATTAAATTTTCACTTGGCCTCCCTCACAAAGGTAATTGAATTATAATCCCAAACTTGAGTGAAGGCCAGATGGTGGTTAGGAAGACCCCACTCTAACACTACCACCAACCACCTTCTACCCAATACCAAAGCTAAGGAAGGCAAAAGTAGTCACTTCTATGGGGTGTGATGAGGTTTTTTAAATTCACTAGTTAATCTTTCACTGAAGGTGTTGCCTTTGGGGTCCCAGCTTTTTTATGTTGATCTGACTTCCTTCCCTCTTTGGGTAGATCCTACTCTTTGTCTTATGGTTTAGATGTTCATTACCACTTTAAATAAGGCCATGGTGAAGATGTAGAACAACGAGAATTCCCATACATTGCTGGTGGGAGTGTAAAATGGTTTTGGAAAACTTTTGGCAGTGTCTCTAGTAAAAAGTTAAACATAGGCCTATTGTGTCAAAAGACAAAATTACAACAAATTTAGCTTAAAGATTGGCCTTTATTCATAAATTCGGCAGTGTCTCACCTAGAGACTTAGAAAAGGTTCTCCAGTGGGTTGAGCAGGGGAGTTTGGCTCTATAGGCAAAAAAAAAGGGGGGGGGGGCTGAAGAAAGCAGAAACGGAGCAAAAAGTAGATTGGTCATTTCACAGTTATAGTAGAGGAGATTTCCTTATCATGCCATCTCAGGTAAACTGGACCCCTTCTGTTTGGTGGCTGTGAATCTCCTAGGGGTTTTTTGTTTGTTTTTTTGTTGTTTTGTTTTTTGGAAAACTAGCCTATTTCAAAGTTTAGTTTTATTGCATGGCACTGAACACTAGTCACTACATTCTGGCTTAGTCTGGCCTGTTGGACCTAGTGCAGCAGCTCAGTCCAAAACAATGGCCTTCCATAAATTTCATTTAACACCTGTTATCCACCAATTCCATTGCTATACACACACACACACACACACAAGAGAAATGAGTGCATATGTTCACCAAAGGACATGTAAAAGAATTTTCATGGAACCTTTATAATTGCCAAAAACTGGAAATTGCTTATATTTCTACCAACAGGAGAATGAGGAAATTATCGAATACTCATATAATAGTATACTGTACAACACTAAAAAGGAACAAACTACTGACACGTGCAACAACATGGATGAATCTCACAGACATTAGATTAAGTGAAAGAAACCAGACATAAAATAGTACTGCTGTATGAAGTACTGCTTTATATGAAGTTAAAATAGTACTGCTGAATCTCACAGACATTAGATTAAGTGAAAGAAACCAGACATAAAATAGTACTGCTGTATGATTCCATGCTTTATATGAAGTTAAAATAGTACTGCTTTATATGAAGTTTAAGAATAGGCAAGATTAATCTATAGTGATAGAAGTCAGTGGTCACTTCTGAAGAGTGGGGGTATTGACTGAGAAGAGTTGTATTAGGTAACCAACTTAGAAACTTTTGGAAAGCAGTAATTAGCAAATGAGGACTATCTGTACTATATTTGATTCTTATATCAATTCACCATAACTACATTATATCATCTTTTGCTATTGGCATTTTGCATTCTTTTTCAACTTCTTTATGTTGGTCTGCATTCAAAAGACAAAATGAACTTTATCTTTTGTGAAATGTATCTGTAAAGAGAACTGAACTAGACAGAATCTTAAACAAGTGAGATAAAGGAAAGGCTCTCTAATAAGCGTCCGGCATTTTAGATTAGGGATGACAAATACATAACACATACTGTTCTTTCATCCACTGCAGATATTGCTCCTTGATCTTCCTGAGTCTTGCTCCACACAAAGTTTTAGGCATCTACTGCCACTTGATTAGAGTTGGCATGAATGACAGAAAATCTATTTGATATCTCTGATTTAGAGGATCTGTTTTTGGGAGAATCTTCTGGAATATATAATCTTAAGGTTAATTAGCTATTTTATCCATTGTGTGAAGTAACATAGTCATAATGCTGGAAGCCCAATTATTTGAAGAATACTTTAGTGTCACTTAAATTTTCAGGTATTTGTGAAGCTAACCGGATCTGCTATTTCATAAAATGTTCTTAATATACAATGTAATTTTTAAAATCCCACATCTTCAGCCTTTAACTGAGTGACATATTTTATAATGTTATTTACTTTTATTCTTGTGTTTTCCTTCATTTTTAAGGAGTGGACCTACCCTATGAGACGAGAGATGCAGGTATGACAGCCTTTTGTTTGTTCAAGCCAACCCATATTAGTATCATTATTAAATAATAACCTAATTTCACAAAGGATTTGAGGCCTCCTGATTCATGATCCATAGGTTCATCACTAAGTATTTTAAATATTTAAGGTTAATCTTGAATCTTAAAAAGATGAGAAATGAATTATTACCTTTCTTCCTTAGATTGGAACCAGAAACAGTGATATATGTATGTGTTTAAGGAATCACTTTCTTTTCTGTCATCTGAAAAATAGGATACTATATTTGTATTCCTTTTGAAAGCATTTTGCTTTCTCTTTTTGTCTATTTTAGATAGGTTCAGGAGAGTTGACTGTGAAGCAGATCAGACTTTTAAATAGTTGTTCATTTTGTGTCTGATTCCAATCTTACTTTCATAAGTATGTTATCCAGAAGACTGGATGAGTTGAGTACTTCCAGTTTGCAATGAATTAAAATGATAGATAACCCTTACAGGAGTTGGTTTTCCTTTGCATTTCTTGCCATTTATAGTCAACTCTGCTAGCCCCAGGATCAAGCAATGTCTCATTCCTAGGTAACCCTTCCTAAAAATCTGTTACCTTTCTTAATGAAAATTTACTTTTTAAAAATATGTTGTACAATTGCTGATGGTAAATACCTCAATTTTCTTTCCTCCCCCAGGAAATTTTACCTGGATTGTTCTTAGGCCCATATTCTTCTGCTATGAAAAGCAAGGTATGAACTTTAGATTAGGTTCACCAAGAAACTTTATTAACCATCTTTTCCCTGTTAAGTTTTTAGTAATAAGAGTCTTATTTTAGGGGGCATCCCCAAATACTATATGTTAACAGTAATTGTCACTCTGGAATACGTACCTCTTTCCGAATTTTACTGGGTCAGTGGTTCTCAAGTTTTCACCACAAATTTCAAATTTCACCACAAATCACAAATGCATTTTATATTTTATTTTTCTCATGGAATTCATATGTTTGAAAGATTTACCAATTGACCTTTAATAACTTATTTACCCTCTAAAATATTAGACATCTGTAATTGCTAACAATATGAGATGCAATTAAAGCCCAAAATAAGGAAATCTAACATTTTAGTTAACCTTTCCTTATCAAGGGTAAGAGTATATTTGTTTCTTAATTGATAGGTGATAGGGAGTTTGTAAAAGAGTTATTCATCTTCAGACTGGAAGATTTTTTTGACTATTAAGTCATGACTAAGAGTAACTCTTAGTCATTTTGATGGCCTACAGCTAGGTTGGGAAGATGGGGAGTTGGTAAAAATAAATGCTAGGGAAAAGATAGAACAGGTAACTATAGATGTAGCCATGAATTACTTTGTAAAAGACAAATATAAACAAAGTTATTGCCCAAATAATTTAGTATTCTCCAAATACTGGCCTTCAAATTGGTTTTAGAAAATTTGCTTTTTTATTCTCATTGCACTTTATAAATGTACTTATGATATTATCACATTAATTTTACTAGACTGAAGAAAAACTTCTATAGCAATATTTTATATTTCCTACCCTGAGTCACTGTTATACACCCTATATCTCTTTTCATACCATCATCCAAAAACAAAAATAATAATGGAGATAAACTTTAAAATTGTTAAAACAGGTTTTTATCCATAAAATATATGTCGTCTTGTGGTTTTTCACATTAATAAAGTAGATACGAAAACTCCATCATAGATCATCAAGTGTAAATGAAGGTTAGCATAAATGTGAATATAGAACATTGATTATTAATCCTAGCAAATATTTACCTCCCTTCCCTAACTTGGGATATACTCAGAAAATACAAAAATAATTGAACTCTAATCTATGCCGACATAAGCATATTTGCTACAAAAATTAACATTTAAAACTTTTGAGAACCATATTATCTTAGTCAACTTGGGCTGATTTTAGAACAAAATCCGCAGGCTGGGTGGCTTAAACAATAGGCATGTATTTCTCACAGTTCTGGAGGCTGGGAAATTCAAGATTATGGTACCAGCATGACGCAGTTCTGGTGTAAGCTCTCTTCCTGGCTTGCAGACCCCTGCCTTCTTGATGTACACTCACCTGGCCAGGAGAGCAAGTTCTTGTCTCTTATTCTTATAAGGGTACCAATTCCACTATGGGGGTTCCACCTTTGTGACCTCAACTAAAACTAGTACCTCTCAAAGGCCCCAGCCTCCTAATACTATCATATTCTGGGGTAAAGGTTTCAACATATGAATTTGGGAGAGAAACAAACTTCAGTTTATAACACATATAAATTAGTCTTTGATTTCTTTCATGAATTAGTATTGATGTTCTGAACTATTTAATGCAGAAGGTGGGAATTAAATATATATGATTATAAGCTGAAGGTGACATAATATTACTAATTCTCTTTGAGTTGTAATGTGAAACATTGTATCACAAATGTCTTCCCCAACCCCTTGCCTGTTTAGAACTCAGTATACTTAAGTTGGGTGTGATAGCTCCATTGAACAGATAATTATTGAATAACTTAACTGTAACACATACTTAATATAAATCCTACTTAATATAAACTCTGTTACTTATATTACACATACTTAATATGAAGCAGTTAAACAAACATCCTTGCTCTCTTGGATCTTTACATTCTAGCTAGTAAAATAAGATGCAATCTATAAACTCTCTGTANTGAATCTCACAGACATTAGATTAAGTGAAAGAAACCAGACATAAAATAGTACTGCTGTATGAAGTACTGCTTTATATGAAGTTAAAATAGTACTGCTTTATATGAAGTTTAAGAATAGGCAAGATTAATCTATAGTGATAGAAGTCAGTGGTCACTTCTGAAGAGTGGGGGTATTGACTGAGAAGAGTTGTATTAGGTAACCAACTTAGAAACTTTTGGAAAGCAGTAATTAGCAAATGAGGACTATCTGTACTATATTTGATTCTTATATCAATTCACCATAACTACATTATATCATCTTTTGCTATTGGCATTTTGCATTCTTTTTCAACTTCTTTATGTTGGTCTGCATTCAAAAGACAAAATGAACTTTATCTTTTGTGAAATGTATCTGTAAAGAGAACTGAACTAGACAGAATCTTAAACAAGTGAGATAAAGGAAAGGCTCTCTAATAAGCGTCCGGCATTTTAGATTAGGGATGACAAATACATAACACATACTGTTCTTTCATCCACTGCAGATATTGCTCCTTGATCTTCCTGAGTCTTGCTCCACACAAAGTTTTAGGCATCTACTGCCACTTGATTAGAGTTGGCATGAATGACAGAAAATCTATTTGATATCTCTGATTTAGAGGATCTGTTTTTGGGAGAATCTTCTGGAATATATAATCTTAAGGTTAATTAGCTATTTTATCCATTGTGTGAAGTAACATAGTCATAATGCTGGAAGCCCAATTATTTGAAGAATACTTTAGTGTCACTTAAATTTTCAGGTATTTGTGAAGCTAACCGGATCTGCTATTTCATAAAATGTTCTTAATATACAATGTAATTTTTAAAATCCCACATCTTCAGCCTTTAACTGAGTGACATATTTTATAATGTTATTTACTTTTATTCTTGTGTTTTCCTTCATTTTTAAGGAGTGGACCTACCCTATGAGACGAGAGATGCAGGTATGACAGCCTTTTGTTTGTTCAAGCCAACCCATATTAGTATCATTATTAAATAATAACCTAATTTCACAAAGGATTTGAGGCCTCCTGATTCATGATCCATAGGTTCATCACTAAGTATTTTAAATATTTAAGGTTAATCTTGAATCTTAAAAAGATGAGAAATGAATTATTACCTTTCTTCCTTAGATTGGAACCAGAAACAGTGATATATGTATGTGTTTAAGGAATCACTTTCTTTTCTGTCATCTGAAAAATAGGATACTATATTTGTATTCCTTTTGAAAGCATTTTGCTTTCTCTTTTTGTCTATTTTAGATAGGTTCAGGAGAGTTGACTGTGAAGCAGATCAGACTTTTAAATAGTTGTTCATTTTGTGTCTGATTCCAATCTTACTTTCATAAGTATGTTATCCAGAAGACTGGATGAGTTGAGTACTTCCAGTTTGCAATGAATTAAAATGATAGATAACCCTTACAGGAGTTGGTTTTCCTTTGCATTTCTTGCCATTTATAGTCAACTCTGCTAGCCCCAGGATCAAGCAATGTCTCATTCCTAGGTAACCCTTCCTAAAAATCTGTTACCTTTCTTAATGAAAATTTACTTTTTAAAAATATGTTGTACAATTGCTGATGGTAAATACCTCAATTTTCTTTCCTCCCCCAGGAAATTTTACCTGGATTGTTCTTAGGCCCATATTCTTCTGCTATGAAAAGCAAGGTATGAACTTTAGATTAGGTTCACCAAGAAACTTTATTAACCATCTTTTCCCTGTTAAGTTTTTAGTAATAAGAGTCTTATTTTAGGGGGCATCCCCAAATACTATATGTTAACAGTAATTGTCACTCTGGAATACGTACCTCTTTCCGAATTTTACTGGGTCAGTGGTTCTCAAGTTTTCACCACAAATTTCAAATTTCACCACAAATCACAAATGCATTTTATATTTTATTTTTCTCATGGAATTCATATGTTTGAAAGATTTACCAATTGACCTTTAATAACTTATTTACCCTCTAAAATATTAGACATCTGTAATTGCTAACAATATGAGATGCAATTAAAGCCCAAAATAAGGAAATCTAACATTTTAGTTAACCTTTCCTTATCAAGGGTAAGAGTATATTTGTTTCTTAATTGAAAGTGATTGTTCTGGGGCCGGCCCAGTGGCGCACTGCTACAGTGCGCCACTTGGGAAGCGCGGCGGCACTCCCGCCGAGGGTTCGGATCCCACATACAGACCGGTTCCCGCTCACTGGCTGAGTGAGGTGCAGGGAGCAACACCGAGGGTTGCGATCCCGTTGCCGGTCCCGGGCCGGTACGGGCGCGACACTGAGGGTTGCGATCCGTTGCCAGTCATGAAAAAAGACAAAAAGGAAAAAAAAAAAAGAAAGTGATTGTTCTTATTTGTTTTCTTCTTCTGTTTTTCCAGACGTTAGGGGTCTGGGTGCTCCAGGTTGGACAGCATTGTACTACATAGATATCCTATATAGTCAAAGTCAAACTATAATGGACTTATTCAGTTACACAGTTAAAATGGGTAGATCTCATTTTGATATATATGGCATTGTTCTTGCCACTTCCTGGAGGATTCAGCTCTATGAATTATGACAATATTACTAATTCTCTTTGAGTTGTAATGTGAAACATTGTATCACAAATGTCTTCCCCAACACCTTGCCTGTTTAGAACTCAGTATACTTAAGTTGGGTGTGATAGCTCCGTGATATAATCTGATATGTTTATGAACTTTAGGTGATAGGGAGTTTGTAAAAGAGTTATTCATCTTCAGACTGGAAGATTTTTTTGACTATTAAGTCATGACTAAGAGTAACTCTTAGTCATTTTGATGGCCTACAGCTAGGTTGGGAAGATGGGGAGTTGGTAAAAATAAATGCTAGGGAAAAGATAGAACAGGTAACTATAGATGTAGCCATGAATTACTTTGTAAAAGACAAATATAAACAAAGTTATTGCCCAAATAATTTAGTATTCTCCAAATACTGGCCTTCAAATTGGTTTTAGAAAATTTGCTTTTTTATTCTCATTGCACTTTATAAATGTACTTATGATATTTATCACATTAATTTTACTAGACTGAAGAAAAACTTCTATAGCAATATTTTATATTTCCTACCCTGAGTCACTGTTATACACCCTATATCTCTTTTCATACCATCATCCAAAAACAAAAATAATAATGGAGATAAACTTTAAAATTGTTAAAACAGGTTTTTATCCATAAAATATATGTCGTCTTGTGGTTTTTCACATTAATAAAGTAGATACGAAAACTCCATCATAGATCATCAAGTGTAAATGAAGGTTAGCATAAATGTGAATATAGAACATTGATTATTAATCCTAGCAAATATTTACCTCCCTTCCCTAACTTGGGATATACTCAGAAAATACAAAAATAATTGAACTCTAATCTATGCCGACATAAGCATATTTGCTACAAAAATTAACATTTAAAACTTTTGAGAACCATATTATCTTAGTCAACTTGGGCTGATTTTAGAACAAAATCCGCAGGCTGGGTGGCTTAAACAATAGGCATGTATTTCTCACAGTTCTGGAGGCTGGGAAATTCAAGATTATGGTACCAGCATGACGCAGTTCTGGTGTAAGCTCTCTTCCTGGCTTGCAGACCCCTGCCTTCTTGATGTACACTCACCTGGCCAGGAGAGCAAGTTCTTGTCTCTTATTCTTATAAGGGTACCAATTCCACTATGGGGGTTCCACCTTTGTGACCTCAACTAAAACTAGTACCTCTCAAAGGCCCCGGCCTCCTAATACTATCACATTCTGGGGTAAAGGTTTCAACATATGAATTTGGGAGAGAAACAAACTTCAGTTTATAACACATATAAATTAGTCTTTGATTACTTTCATGAATTAGTATTGATGTTCTGAACTATTTAATGCAGAAGGTGGGAATTAAATATATATGATTATAAGCTGAAGGTGACAGAAAATTCAAGGTTATTCCTCATGCCAACATGATTTGTTTGTTCATTTATTGAACAGATAATTATTGAATAACTTAACTGTAACACATACTTAATATAAATCCTACTTAATTAAAACTGTGTTACTTATATTACACATACTTAATATGAAGCAGTTAAACAAACATCCTCGCTCTCTTGGATCTTTACATTCTAGCTAGTAAAATAAGATGCAATCTATAAACTCTCTGTANTTCCACTATGGGGGTTCCACCTTTGTGACCTCAACTAAAACTAGTACCTCTCAAAGGCCCCAGCCTCCTAATACTATCATATTCTGGGGTAAAGGTTTCAACATATGAATTTGGGAGAGAAACAAACTTCAGTTTATAACACATATAAATTAGTCTTTGATTTCTTTCATGAATTAGTATTGATGTTCTGAACTATTTAATGCAGAAGGTGGGAATTAAATATATATGATTATAAGCTGAAGGTGACATAGAAAATTCAAGGTTATTCCTCATGCCAACATGATTTGTTTGTTCATTTATTGAACAGATAATTATTGAATAACTTAACTGTAACACATACTTAATATAAATCCTACTTAATATAAACTCTGTTACTTATATTACACATACTTAATATGAAGCAGTTAAACAAACATCCTTGCTCTCTTGGATCTTTACATTCTAGCTAGTAAAATAAGATGCAATCTATAAACTCTCTGTAACCTATAATCACTTGCAAATAAAAATTTATTATTTGGTAATTTCTAGAATTGTCATGTTAAATTGCTTTAAGTGTAGAGCCAAAAGCAGTACAGAATATTTTAAGATATCATGGGGAGTTGCCACTTCTAACTTTAGGAGAATTTCAAAGTGGTTAAAGGTTAATTAGATTCTGTGAATTATATAAATTAATTATGGTTGTAGTAGAAAAATTACTGAGAGAGGCAGGGAGTAGTCTAGAGATTTGGCTCTGGTACTGCTAGTAAGTAGTTCAGTGATATTGAAGTATTTAGTAATTTAACTAAGTCTTAGTAGTTCCCTCTATAGAATAAAGATTGTAGTCAATGTATATAAGCACTGTTGACTAAGTACTTGCTGTGTGTCCCGGGCACTATGTCAAACATATTAAATATGCAGTATTATATAGTTCTCACAACCAGTCAGTGACTAGGTAGTTTTCTCCCTGTTTTCACATGAGGAAATTGAGCCACAGAGGTCAATTCATTAGCAGAGATGGGATTTATAGCTTGGGCTCTCATGATTCCAAACCCCATGCTTCTAACCACTATTTAGTACTGTTTCCCAAGTCAATTATCTTTAAGGTCTCATCAAGCTTTAAAATTATAGATATTAGGGCCAACCCCGTGGCGCACTCGGGAGAATGCAGCGCTGGGAGCGCAGCGACGCTCCCGCCGCGGGTTCAGATCCTAT